CCATTTCCCTAAATACAGGGGGGATTCAAAACATAAAAATGCATATAGAAAGTAGAACTTTTTCAACGTAACTTTTGAAAGTGTTCCGGAAGGTCTGACACTTTTATATATATCTTAAATTAAAGCTAATGTAATATACTTTATAATGGTAAAAAAAAATTTCGGACTTTATTTTATCTTCATGGTGAAAACAGACATTAAACTTAATAAAAAAAATACGATTTTTGTAAAAAAATTCTTTTTTATATTTTTAACTTTATAATGCTATAACTTCTCGAAAGATGTATGGATCAATATAATTCTTTTTTTTGTAGATGCATGATGTCTTTACCTATCATTTGGTATATTTTTTTTATAAATCTGACTTTTTACCTGCCTACAGGGGGGGATTCAAAATGACAACTTTTTCACAAAAAATTGACTTTTTCAACTTAAATTTTGAAAGTGTTCCGGAAAGTCTGACACTTTTATATATATCTTAAATTAAAGCTAATGTAATATACTTTATCATGGAAAAAAAAAATTTCGGACTTTATTTTATCTTCAAGGTGAAAATGGCTACCAAATGCTATTATTGTGTGAAAATTCTCAATTTTATTTTTTACATTTTTAACATTATAATGCTATAACTTATTGAAAAGTGTATTGATCAATATAATTTTTTTATGGGAAATACTATTTTCTAATAATCTCTTTTTTATTCTACATACTTTGTCTTAATCAGGATATTAATAAGGAACTAGCAGTTTATGAAGCTTTTGGAATAATCCACCAATTTTTTAAAATTAAACACTATCTAAAGATTTGCATCGAAGCGTTTTTTTTTGATAGTGATTTTAATCACTGTCAGATATCATTATACTTGATCCAACTATGCCACGTCACCACTGTGCCGCGACCCCCCTGTGCTGGATTTTTTTTTTTAACAATGTTAATGTAAATTTTTTTCTATTGTTGTAAATATATAAAGTACACAATAAAAAGTATACAAAGTATGTTGTCGGCCACGAATTACAGTTTTAGTAGTTATATTTATTACATGTCGTATTTTAAAATGGATCACCCTACTTAAATACTATCTTATGTTTGAATAAATGCCCATTACGAAATGGGGTGTATTTCACTTAAAGGATTTGAACCTACATGAAAAAAGATACGAATATACATTGTAAAAGATCATGTTTTTAGGGAAGGATTACTGTTGTTGTCTCTGTTTATTATTATTATTATTATGTAGTAGTAAAAAACTTAATATGTACATAGTTCTATTACAGATTATAATAGAATAAAAATGAATTTTTCTAGTAAGAATTATAATAAAAAATAAAATAATTGATACCAGAAATATATATGAATATGTTTAAGAAACTTATAAAAATGAATTTCAATTATTAACTATTAGTATAACGCCATATTTAGTAGAGCTTTGTAAATTTTCAATTAATGGAAAATAACAATGAATTATATTGTAAAATTAAAATATATTAGTAACATTAATTTAAAACTAAAAAATATTTAATATTTATTATGTGTTTAATACTAATGATACATTATTCCCGAACTATGTATAAGCGATTTTTTAGTAACTTGTGTGGTTTTTTTAGTTAAATTATTTATTTTTTTATTTTAAATTAGAATTTTAAATAAATTTTTATTTAACTTTATTTAATTTATTTTTATTTTATTTTATATACTAGCTATAAAAGTAATCAATTATTATTATATCGATTCAATCTATGTATAATGATAAATTTATAATGATATTCTGTTTCTAACATGGTGAACTTCACTTGTTTAGAGAAGCAAATATAAAGTTTCGAATGTTGTTGATAATTTACAGTTGTTTTTAGAGTTGTATGATTTTTATTTATTGAATAGAATTTAGTTCATTAATTAGTTACTATAGGTGTGTAATATTACATTAGGAATACAATCGATTAAACGATAATTTGATTCAGTCGATCATGAAACCTTTTTTTTTTTTCTAAGAAGCAAAAATAATCGATTTTTTCCTAAAATCGATAAGCCGAAAAAAAATAATTGCGCGGGTCTACTGTACTCTATATGCTATTAAGCATAGAATAAAATATCAATTCAAAATAAAAAAAAAACCAGCACAGGGGGATCGCGGCACAGTGGTGACATGGCATAGTTGGATCAAGTATAATGATATCTGACAGTGATTAAAATCACTATAAAAAAAAAACGCTTCGATGCAAATCTTTAGATAGTGTTTAATTTTAAAAAATTGGTGGATTATTCCAAAAGCTACATGATCTACTATTTCCTTATTAATATCATGAATGAAAAAGGGATTATTAAAAAATAGTATTTCCCATAAAAAAATTATATTGATCAATACACTTTTCAATAAGTTATAGCATTATAATGTTAAAAATGTAAAAAATAAAATTGAGAATTTTCACACAATAATAGCATTTGGTAGCCATTTTCACCGTGAAGACAAAATAAAGTCCGAAATTTTTTTTTTACATAATAAAGTAGATTACATTAGCTTTAATTTAATATATATATAAAAGTGTCAGACTTTCCGGAACATTTTCAAAATTTAAGTTGAAAAAGTAAATTTTTTGTGAAAAATTTGTCATTTTGAATCCCCCCCTGTAGGCATGTAAAAAGTCAGATTTATAAAAAAAATATACCAAATGATAGGTAAAGACATCATGCATCTACAAAAAAAAGAATTATATTGATCCATACATCTTTCGAGAAGTTATAGCATTATAAAGTTAAAAATATAAAAAAGAATTTTTTTACAAAAATCGTATTTTTTTTATTAAGTTTAATGTCTGTTTTTACCATGAAGATAAAATTAAGTCCGAAATTTTTTTTTACCATTATAAAGTATATTACATCCCCCCCTATTAAGGGAAATGGTCCGATTTAAAAAAAAAGTATGTCGAATGAAAGATCTACATAAATACTACTTCTCATAAAAAAATTGTAATGATCCATACATTTTTCAAAAAGTTATAGCATAATAAAGTTAAAAATGTAAAATACAAAATCGAAAATTTTCACACAAAAATAGCATTTGGTAGCCATTTTCACCCTGAAGATAAAATAAAGTCCGAAATTTTTTTTTTTCATAATAAAGTATATTACATTAGCTTTAATTTAAGATATATATAAAAGTGTCAGACCTTCCGGAACACTTTCAAAAGTTAAGTTGAAAAAATTAATTTTTTGTAAAAAAGTTGTCATTTTAAATCCCCCCCTGTGGGCAGGTAAAAAGTCAGATTTATAAAAAAAATATACCAAATGATAGGTAATGACATCATGCATCTATAAAAAAAAGAATTATATTGATATGTTTATTTTTAAAAAAGTTACTGCAGTTTTTAGTAAAAAATTTCGAAAATTAGCCATTTTTAAATTTGTAATTTTTTCGGAGGTTTCCCCCATTTACGGGGAACGAGGGAATTTTTTTCAATTTTTGAGGGTAATGTCTTCGACTAGATACGATTTGTGATCTTTTGGCGTATCATTGAAAGAAATCGGCTCGGTGAGAGCTGAGAAAAAGTGGTAACAGACATAAAAAAAAACACATCTTAGTAAAACTAATACCTTCTCAGCTTTGCATCGAAGCTAAACTGTTTATAATGTACAACTATATATTATAAATGATTGTATATACATGGTGGTTTTTTTATCATTTTAATTAATTTAATTAATCAAAAAATAAAATGTAAGAAGAAAATTTTGAATTCTTTTTTATTTTTTTAATGTTTATTTTAGTTTAAAAACTTGAAGTATTTTTTATGCTCATCCCTTATATTTTATAAGGGTGTAATTTTTTTTTCAAATAATAACAACTAATTAAGTTTGTTAATATTTGTTAGTTTTAACGCCTATTTGACATAGATAAACATAAAAAACATTTTATAATCGATAAAATTATCAATGATATTATTATTCGATAAATTAGATCCGTTAAAATTGACTTATAAAGAAATATTTACTTAGAATTAAAAACTTAAGAGCATACCAGATTTAACTGACGACTGAAGAAAATTGTATATTATTTATTTTTAGTAATAAAAAGAACATTTTTTAGTTTTAATTTCTATCAAATTTTAAAACAGTTATTTTTAAACTCTGTTCTTACACATAATTTTTATGGGTCGACAACAATGACCGTACAAGTACTCATTGAATTACAAGCATTTTAATAAACAGAGTGGGTATGTAGCATAGGTGCGGTATACACGAACTGCTTCCGCATTATAATATTATCCCCTATTTTTTCGTAGAAATTTAATTTAATTTTATAAAACATGAAAAATATCAAATTTATTGTAGAAAAAAAACTAGTTTTTAGGATAGTTTTTCGAGATAACTTACTTAAGTTAAAAAAAAACCTACAATTAGTTTTATGTTATTAGATGCAAAATACGCTGAACAAAAGTTGACTGGTCTATAACCAGTTTTTTACTGTTACTTTATGAAATATTGGAACAATTATTTATAGAAGAAATGGTTAAGTGATTCTCTATTTTTACCATAAGCACAGATAAAAATACTATTATGTTACATAACTCTATATCTCATAAGTGTAAAACTCAAAAAGTAATTTTACTAAATTTTTACCGACTAGATAAATTTTTATTTAATCCATTATACACTTGATAAATCAATTTATAGTTTATTGTAATATTGTATTTTATTTAGTATATTCTTCATTTAATAGTATAAAAGTAATTATAGTTTACTGTTTCACAGTCAAATATTATCCAAAATAACAAATCTTAGAAATGTTTTTTTTTTTACAATTAACTTGATATTTATAGTTTTCCTAAAAATGATATTTTATTTAATACATCTTTACAAAGAAAAAAAACATTATACAAGCTGTCTCAGATCTAATTGACAACGTTTATAACTTCTGATTTGATCTGAGAAAACCGTGTATGAAAAAAGTTTTTTCCAGATATTTTTGAATAAATTACATTGTAACACATATTTTTTTTTATTTTTAGGAAACGCTAGACACAGGAGACGATGGTGAGTATAGTTCTGGATCGCAAGATAATATCGAATATGTACGCAGAAAGCGACGATTACGGCGAAAACAAAACAAACTGCCGTGGTCTGTGGTTAACCCTGACGAGAACTTTTATTTTAATTGGTTAATGTTGTTGACCGGGTGCACACTGTATAATTTATGGACCGTCATCGTCCGGCAAAGTTTGCCCGAGTTGCAAAGAATGGCGTCCGGTTGGTGGTTTACTATGGATGCGTTTAGCGACATTGTGTTCTTACTAGACGTCGCTGTTCAGTTTCGCACCGGGTACCTAGAACAGGGTCTGATGGTATATAATACTAGCAAATTAGCTGGTCATTATATCCGGTCCAAGTCATTCTTATTTGATTTAGTCGCACTCACGCCGCTTGACCTCCTTCAACTCAAAATTGGCATACATCCCTTGCTGAGATTTCCTAGGTTTTTAAAGGTATGTAAATGTTTTTTTTACTATTATTTTAACTTCTAAATAGTTATGAAATCGTAGAATAAAATAAGCGAGTGGGGCTTAGTGGGTCCCGGGTTCGATCCCCAGGTTGCCAACGAGATTCTCCTTGTGATTTTCTCATTTGGCGGTGTCTGGTCTATGGTGCAGGTCGCCCATAGTACACGCACTGTCCACCATTTGGCCTGGCCAAGAATCATCTTTGACTCCCTAACATGTACCACCACAATGTTAAGTTCGGTAAATAGAAGGATGTAAAACTGATAAATTTTTATTCATAGAATAAATAAACGATTTCATCTAGTTGACAAGTTAGCGATTTTTTATTAAACAAATAATGCATTCTTTATGTAGCCTATAAGAAAATATTGTCAATCGATTGCTGTAATGGAAACTTGAAGAAATATATATTGTATATACTAAAAATATATAACAAATCATATTGATACGTTTATAGCGATATGATTATTTGTTGACTATTTTTTAACTATTCTTAGCCGAACGATACAAATAAAGAATAAATCAATAGTTTTACAAAAAATAAGTTCATAACATGCGTATTTTTAAGTATATTTATGTTACATAATACTATATTACGTTATCCTAAAAAGTTATAAGTCATTTTTATGAGACTACACTTTTTGTTCTTCGGAATTTAAAAATATTTTCACGTATACGTTTTTTATTGCGTTTACACGATCCAATATTTTTACTCCTACTTCAAATATGTGAATTTATATTGTTCTTTAGCTACCAACCAAACCTTAAAAAATATTCTGTTCATTGAAATTAATTGGAATATTTTTTTTATTTTTATCATTAAATTATCATATTAAAATATTGACACTTTTCATTTTTTAAACTTTTCTACTATTGATACTCTTGAATAAAAATACTTTTATATTAAATTAAAACTATTAACGTTAAGATGTTTTTAAAAAAACTAATCCTACATCTCTATTGGTAAAATATTAAAGTAATAATAAATCACCGACCGAAACACTCGGTGATCTAACAACGGTTAAGGTTTGACATGATGGATATCTCTGATATCTATAGACTAGCAAATTTTACATGACAGTCATCGTTTCGTTTATACAGCGTTGAGATGATATTAATAGGGGTTACATTGAACGCAAAAGAGTTTTTATATTTAGTGGGTAAATATAACCAAGGTAGAATGAAAATCAATATTGGTTAATTCTTGTTACTGAGATAGCACTTCTTAATCGAATCCGCTATAAAATTAAGTAACTTCTATTATAATTATATTTGCATATTATATATACTGACATTTAAATCGTCAACAATAAAATCACTTAGCTCATCATATACAGGGTACAGGATAAGTCACAAAAATAGAACAAATCCAATAACTTTTGATCCAATTATAATTTGAAATGATAATTATCATATCGGTAAAAGTTTTTTTAAAAATATTTATTGCCTTTATATACACATTTAAAGAATATTTTTTTTTATTTGTTCACTATTAAAAATAAAATTTCAACGTTTTAAAATAGCTATTTGTATAGTGTTTGACCTATAAAAAACTTTGATGCATCGATAATAATTTTAAGACAAGCATTCATTTTATTACAATCGTTTTAATACATAGATTGAGTATGCAGCGCAGATGGCGTATGCCTTAGAAAAATATACCAATACGAACTGTATCCGCCCCCCTAAATACTCACCTAATGTATTAAAATGTTTGTAATTCAATAAGTACTTTTCCTAATATTGTTATCAATCATTAAAAATTTTTGTAAGAAAAACGCTAATAATAGCTATTTCAAAATTAACAAAAAAGAAATAGTAAAAATATGCTTCAAACATAGCATACAAAGAGAATAATTATTAGATCAAAAGTTATTGGATTTGTCATATCTTCTTGATTCCATTCTGTGCATCTTATATTAGTTTCGATAGGAAGTTGAAAAGGTATTGTTTGTCGTTGAAATTTTTAATGAATACATCTATGTAATATTTATTAATTTATTAATTTTAAATTAATACATTTTTTAGGTGTATCGTGTTTACGACTATTATTATATGGTCGAATCAAGAACAGTTTATCCAAATCTTTGGAGAGTAATAAATTTAATTCACATTCTTTTAATACTAGCTCATTGGTTTGGTTGTTTTTACTATTTATTATCCGAAGCTGAAGGTTTCAAAGGCGATTGGGTATACCCATACAAACCAGGAGATTATGCCACGTTAACAAGAAAATACTTAGGTTCCCTTTATTGGTCAACTCTAACATTAACAACAATCGGAGATCTTCCTACGCCTGAAACTAATGCAGAGTAAGTCTTCTATACTGAAATGCTTTGTATTTGTTTTAAAATTAAATATACAAATTGTATATTTTAGGTATGTTTTTACTATAGTTAGTTACTTAATAGGCGTTTTTATATTCGCAACTATTGTAGGTACGTATACTATAATTAAATTATTATACATCCCATATTTATTTATAAAACATTACTGATATTTAATTCTAGGCCAGGTAGGTAATGTTATAACAAATAGAAATGCAAATCGATTGGAATTTGAAAGACTGTTAGATGGAGCTAAGTTATATATGCGTCACCACAAGGTTCCAAGTGGAATGAAAAAACGAGTACTGCGGTGGTACGATTATTCGTGGTCTAGGTAAATTAATTCATTTCTACAATGTAGTATTAATGTAAAATAATTTTCTTTAAATAAACTTCAAATTAAAAAAAATCTAATAATTACTTATCATACGTTTCAGAGGACGTATACAAGGTGGTGGAGATATTAACACAGCTCTGGGACTTTTACCTGACAAGCTCAAGACAGAATTGGCACTCCATGTAAATTTAGCAGTTTTAAAAAAAGTATCGAAGTTTTTTATTGTAAATAATTTAATAGTTCTTATCTAAAATCATACTTTTTAGGTGACAATATTTCAAGAATGCCAGCCTGAGTTTTTGCACGATTTAGTACTTAAGATGAAAGCATATATATTTACACCAGGAGATTTAATTTGTCGCAAAGGTGAAGTGGCTAGAGAAATGTTTATTATAGCTGATGGTATTTTAGAAGTTATTAGGTAATATTTCTATAAAACAATGTGGTTCAAATAGTAATTTTACAATATTTATATATATTGTATTATAAGATAAATATAATATAATTCTTTTAAATATTTAGTAGTGAAACTGGACATGTTTTAACAATTATGAAGGCTGGCGATTTTTTCGGTGAAATTGGTATTTTAAATTTAGATGGCTTTAACAAGTGAGATACTTATTTTATTAATACAATAAAAATATTCTTAAATTATATTTTAGAAATAAGTTACAGTTACAGTTTTAAGTTCCAATTTTCAAAATTTAATAATGAATATAAATGTTTGTCTTTGTTAATTATAAATATAAAGAATTTTTCAAAAAAAATTATTAACATAATGGTGGGACGGTGTGGCCGAGTGGGTAACGCGGTAGTGTTTGACGCGCACTGCCTCGGGTTCGAAACTCGGTTACGGGCGGCTTTATTTGCCGTACGAAAGATCAGTTCGGTTATTGAAGTCGCCATCCCACTCTTCGGCGACGGATTAACCACCCGTCCCGGAGTATAAATGGTTAAGAAAACCTCCTCCTAGGGGGAGGTGGCTATGGCCTTTAATAGACTAATAAAAGTAATAAAAAAAAAAAATAATAACATAATGAGTATAACATCAAAATATAAAGTTATAAATAACTTTAAAAATATGGAAAACTCTTAACTGTTCATTAAATGATGAAGACACTATATATATCATAAAGTTAAAAATATTATTTGTATACATCTTTACTAGGAGAACGGCAGATGTAAAATCAGTTGGTTATTCAGAATTATTCAGTTTGTCGCGTGAAGACGTTTTAGCAGCAATGAAGGACTATCCCGAGGCTCAAGAAATTTTACAAACTCTTGGCAGAAAACGATTATTGGAAGCAAGAAATGCTAACAAAGCAGGTATGTTTATTATAAAATTCTTCTTCTTTCTTTTCCCTTGCCTTAATCCCAACTACTTGGGGTCGGACATGTTTTATATGTTTATTATAAAATAATCGATTAAAGTTAATTTAACTCAAAGTTTTATGTTTTGTAATTTATATATTTTTAATTTAATCACTAGTTGCTGACCGTTTAAAATCTCGTGCTAATAATGAATCAGAGAATTGTACTAGGATTGTAGATAAAATCCGAAGTGACGTGAAAGGCCTACGCAATGCATTTACAAAAGGACGTAGAGGAACTAGGTAAAATAGTTTTATTTTTATTGATAAATTATGAATATTATTAATATTTAGTTAAATAGATATCAACTTATCTTTATGACATTGTTATTATTTTATGTTTGATAAATATTTTTTTAGAGCTGTTGTTGAGGAAAGTTTGGAATTACAGCCGTTGACAAATTATGGTAGCCGAAAATCTGAAAGTGCAGGAAGTAGAAGTATTTTACGAAGAATGCCTCGTGTGTGGAGTGATGAATTAGCTTCTGGAACAGAACATAGTGATGAAGATCCGAGACCGTTGTCTCCTGGTATACCAATTTTAAACAAAGCCAATAAAGAAGTACGTATAAATGAATCAAAAAAATGTTTATCTCCACCAATAGTAACGGCGGAATCACTTAGAAAAGATTCTATGCATCAAGAAGTTATAGGATCTGGTTTACCGTTATTACAACGACTTTTAATACTAAAACAAAAGAATGACCAAGACGCCACAATGCTAAATAGGCAAAAGCGCAATGATCAAGAAATACATGAATATGTCACTAAAGTAAAATCAAGTATCAAATTAAAAACTCCAAAAAAAGATATACCTAAAACTTTTAATCTGAAGCAAAGATTATCAGAGGCAAATGTTAGACCTAAAAAATCCACATCAAATACAAAATTTTGGACATTATTAAAAAAAGCCACCGTACTCACACCTAAGGCTAAATTACAGGATATGAAATCTGATGAGAAGTCTATTGTTGACTCTCTGTCATCTTTTCGAGTAGATTCAAAGCCTATCGATCCATTAATAGAAAATGTTGTGGGTGAAAATCAACCTACAAAACTCATAATGATGTGCCAAACATTAGAAAACCAATATAAACAGGGCTCGTTGATTGCTCAAAACATATCGGCTCATAATAATTTAGTTAAAAGTACTGAAAGTAATGTTAAGGATTCATGTGATATTAGATTGGTCCCAAGACCAAAATTATTAAATCTCGCAGGCACAAAAAAACGTTATGATTCAATTAACGATTTATCACCTGAATATTCAGGATTATCGTTTGTGAAAAAACTAAAAATTTTAAATGAACGCCAAAAATTAGCAGAACTTGAAGAAAAAGCGTTTTTAAGAAGCGCTAGTTTAGATTCTGCAGGATGTAAAAATTTTATGCAATTTAACAAATTATCTCGTAGTCATTCAGAAGCTGTTGCTTTAGAACTTGTCATGAGAAATCAAAAGAAACGGACAGAATTATCTGTAGTCTCTGACGACACAAATGAAACATCTGAACGTATACGTTTAAAAAATATACTTAAACGATTGTCATCTGATTGTCTTGGCAATGACCGAGTCAGGCAGTTAATGTCATCTCAAACAATTGAGGGATATGCTGCAAGACATTCAAAGCTTACCAGAAATGTAACGTTCAATCAACGTCACACTTTAGAGTCCTCGCCGGATTCTTGTGGTTCTTTATTGACATTTCCTGAATGTAATAATACTTCACAAAATAAAAATCCAGATATTATTCCTACAAGATCACCTGATAATACTGATTTCTTTAAATCTTCTTTGATCACTCAAAATGTAGCATTATCTAATCGGACGTTAGTTGAATCTATGCGATGTTTACCTGATAGGACTAATCCTCAACAAAGTTGTTATGATGGAATAATTTATAGTATCAAATCAATTTTAGAAAATTACTTGGTAAGCTTGTTTTTTTTATTATGATTAAATAATTAATTCAAAAGATTGATAGAAAATAAAAATGTATTAGATGTTTACATTTATAATCATTGTCTACTACTGTAAAAAATTCCTTATCTTCATGAATAATATATTTAGCTTCGTTATAGTTTCTTAAAAACTTTAAAATCAGATTTTCCATAAAAAAAAAAAAAATGATTATTACTTATTTAAAATAATAAAAGGTAAAAAAAATTAATATTCGAGAAATTTTAAAATAAAAGAAATTCAAATTTTCTTCCAACATGAAAAATACTGTTAAGAGATTACAGTATAATGTTAATTTAATAAAAAAAAAATTGTTAAATTAAAAATTTAACTCAAGTTACCGTACACTCACGACAATGGGTAGATCTAAAATTTAAAGAATTTATAATTAAAATAAAATAGACCAGGAAAATTTCTAAATCAAAGAAAAATTCCATTTCTTATATTGGTAAAAGATATCTCGCAGTCATTGTTATAAAAATAATGACAGAAACGTTTAAAAATAAGAAATTATCTTATTAAAAGAAGACTTATAACTGCTTTTTATCACAAATTAATTTACATATTTTTAGACTGAAGTAGAAGAAAAATATCAAGACAAAATTGAAAAACTAGAAACAGAAATAAGCAAAAGAGATTATACTATTAAGACTCTTTGTGAACAATTTAACCAGGTAGTCACTCTAAGATTAAAATCATTTTTATTTAAAAAATAATCATACTTTGAAATTCAAAGTTTTTACAATAGTAGTCAAATTTTTATTATTTAACATGCTCATTTTAACATTATTCTAACAAATAACTAATGATTCTTGCTAAATTCTAATCATTAAAATATAAACCCAATACAACTCATTATAAAACATTTCTCTACAAACGTATATTAGTATAGAATAAAACGAAAAACAAAAAAAAATTATTCTTTAACTAATTTTATAATTTATAAAATTAATTGATCTTTTGAAAAATTTTATTTATATTAACATGTAAGACTGATTTAACTTACATCTAAATTACAAAGAATACTACCCCCCCTTTTCTTTAAATAATTTTGTTTTAATTTAAATGTACGAATTACAGTTTTATTTATTTATATAAAACATGATAATTATCAAGTTATTGTTTATTAAACTACCATCTATTTAAAAAATAGGGGGTAGTTTTCTAATTCGAGTGCAGTTTTTAGAAGTGTATATTATAAGGCATACACTCCTACTCTAACTACACACTCCATATATTAAAAATTCTTGTAATTTAATGAGTACTTGTTCTAAAAGTATTATCAACCTTTAAAATTGTTTGTAAGGAAATAAATAAAAAATAACTATTTTTAAAGTTTGAAAATCATAAAAATTAAAAAATGTACTCTATAATGTCAAATTATACTCGAAATCTGAAGTATAAAAAAAATGAATTTTTGTGTTACAATTTAATTTCAAAGAGGTAATTTGATTTTTACACTTAAAATATATCGTTTACTCAAGACTCCGTTGGGATTGTTAAATTAATTTTTGTTTTCCTGAAGTGTGTTGAAAACGAGTTCGGTTGATTTTATTAAACTATGAATTTTAAAAATTTTTATGATACATGAGATTTGCTATTAGTTTAAAATATTGTATTTTTGGTGAAATAAACAAAGAAGGACTATAAATTTAGTTAACTAGCCTATTCTGAAAAATGATAAATAATTTAATTTTAAATTTTTACTCCTGGTAAAAAATATCTACTTCCCTTAAAAACAGTAGGCTTAAAATTCATAATACCCGTCTCTGTATGCAATGCGTCATAGAAATTTTAATAAATGTACATAATATTTATACTATGTGATTACGTAAACATCCAATAGTCCAGTGTTTTTGTTAATCTACCAATACCGCCGTCTGATTTTTGCCAGATTATTGTGAGTGTATTGTATTATTTCACTCCAAATAGTATAGGTAGTTCAGCAAAGTATCTGTTTTTATTTTCAATATTTTTTTACAATAATACATTGTTTTCTTTACAAAATCACTGGAAATAACTATGTTTATATTAATAAAGGTACACTATTTTATTTTTAGAAATTGTGTGATGAACCAATCGATACAGATAAACTAGACGCTTTAATAGGTAGCTTTTCATGTAATCTAGAAGAAGTTGAAGAAAATTCATTTATTGTATGAATTTTACTTAATATTATTTAAAAAAGTATTATTTTTAAGTTCAAATAACAATTGTAATTTATTTCAGAGGAATGACTCTGTGGATACAGTCATGTGCCCAATAGCTCAGCAGTTTAAAAGTGTATCGCCATATCGCTATGATAATTACAAACATAAAAAACAATCTTCCAATAGTTCTGATTTTTCAATAAATAAATCTTGGGAGAATAGATCAAAAGAAGAAAATATTGAACTACAAGAACTACCAAGATCAATTATTCCAGAATCAAAATGGATTCGAGAAGATACTAGAATCGATATGGATTTCACAGACGATGAAGATGAAAATTTTTCTCCTCGTTGGGAAAATTGGGAAGCAGAAATGTTAGTTGGCCATAATAATAAAAGTGATCTCTACCGCAAATCAGGATTAGTTAGTCATATGTCTTTAGACGAAGAACCTATTAATTTACATAGAAGTTTCCGTGGGAGAAGAAGATGTTTGTCAATAGATAACATGTCATTTTCTAATTCTATATTAAGAAATTTTGGGCAATATGTTCGCTTGGGGAATTCACCACAAACATCACGTGACATTCTTCCAACTATATCAAAGAGTTGTTTTTCTTTATTATCACATTCAAAAAATTAAGTGAGGCTTCCAAAAACCATTGTATAATTTTTATTTTTTCTAAACAGGGTAGTCCTATGAATATTATCATCATTCATTGAATAATGATAATTATTTGCCATAAAAATATTTTATTTAAATTTATTTTTATTTTAAGAAAAATAATACTAGTTATCTTAAGATATTTTTGTTGAATAATGAATCATTAAGTTTTTATAAATACGAATATATGTGACAGGGAATGTGAAAAGGGTTTTAGTGGCCAAAAACTTTATTCCAAACTAAAACATTTTTTAGTTTTGGAAAATACTTTTTTTTAATCAGTAACGAAATAACAAAGAAATTTAATTTTCGGTCAATAGAATCCATTCCTCATTTCAGATTACTTGTGTGATTGTAATATTGCGAATTTAGGTATTATATTAAGATGTACGTGTTTAGCGTATTAAATTTTGTACTTTGATTGATAGTGAACTATAAAATATGCAGTTATCTAATAATATAAATTTATTTTTAAAAATCTTTTTAATAATGCCATTTTAATATACTTTGCATATTTTTATTTCAAATAAAGTTCATTTTATAAAAAAATAACAGGAAGAAAGATATTACATGTGCTAAATATTTCTCGAATTTTTTATTATATTTATAATTTATTTCAATTTAATTAAAAATGAAATTTCAAGATTGTTCACTTCTAGATTCAAAAAATATTTTGATTAGTATTCAAAAATTATTTAATGTTATTTTAATATACATATTGTATTTCGATAATTAGATATATTATTGTCAACACATTTTACTGCCATGAAATAATTTATTTAATATTTAAATTTAATAAGGAACAATTTTTCCATGAAAATAGATATTATATTTTATTTAAAATTAAAAAATTGTGTTTTTAAGTTTGCTACTCAGTATATTTGAGTACGCAGGTATAATGATAAGGAGTAACAATTTTAATATTTTTATATGTAGCATACATTTTTAACTAGTTTATATAATAGATAATGATCCAACTAAAAAATCCAACTACTCTTCTCGCAAAGGTATAAAAATGTTTTGAATATAAAAAATTCTGAACTACTAGTTGAAAAGTTGTTATGGACCAGTCATTTTCTTAGATGAATTATTTTTAACTATATGAACTAATTAAATATGTATGTTGTCATTTTAAAAAATAAAGTTGGTTCCTTTATAAGAGATTAGGGATAGAGCTAAAAATATTTTATCACTCAAAAATCTCAAATAATTTAAACAAAAACTATCTAATTAATTATTGTTTTATAAGAAGTTTAAGGTTAACGATGAATATCGTATTAATAAGGCTATATATGTCTCTCTGTATATGTCTGTCTGTCATTTTATTATCTTACATTAAAAGATAAAAAAAAACTTTAAATTTCACTTTTATGTGTTATTCTACTTGGAAACTTAAAATAAAAGTTTTTCAAATGACTTGTTTAAACTTAAGATAAAATAAAAATTTAATAAATCCTTAATTTAATTTCTAATTTACTTTAGTTATAATTAACTTTTTAAATCACTTTAATAAATTATTTTAAATGCTAATCAAATTTACTGAATAATAATTATATTTAATTTAAAAATCCCTAATAGGAGTTTTTCATTCAAACTAAATTTTAAGATATACGCATTGTATTGTAAATAAACATGTTTAATACATTGTTTCCATGTTAACACTTCTGTTGATATTTTTAAATTATTTAACTATTAAAGTAATGATTTTTTTAGTTAAAAAAATGTCTAATATTTTCAATAAAAATTATTTAGTTACTTATGTTAGAAGAAATATTTTAAATTTAAGACATAATTCAGGTTCATCAGCTGCCATTAATGGACTAGGTCGTATAGGCAAATGCTTGTTAAGATTAGCTACAAGTTCGAATATAAATGTATGTACATATTATATAAAAAGATAACCATATTTTGACTCGTATCAAGGGGAGTTCGTGGGATCTGAATCTCCGCCAAAAGTATTTTCTTTTTAATTGCATAAAGAAATTATACTTTATAATTTTAGGTAGAGTGGGTACAATTTTCTTAGAGTCCCCCTTCAAAGTAATCTTTACTATAATTCCAAGATTTATTTATCTCCCTCGTGTAGATAACTGCTATTAATGAGCCGTTTGCAAGTATTGAGGAAATAGCAAGATCATTGGTTTATGACTCTATACATGGACCATTTGATAAGTCAATTAAAGTAAAAGATAATGAATTAATATTACATGGTAAGAATTTAAAAGTTGAGAAGATATAATTAAAAATTAATCACTTTTACAAAAAATATATTCTTAGGGAAATCAATAAGAGTATTTCATGAATGTAAACCAGAAAATATCAAATGGAAAGATACCGACGTAAACTATATTCTGGACGCTTCGGGACAATTTAGTACTGTAGAATTAGCTATGGTACTATTTAATTGTTAATTTTTTTATGAAATACTATGCATATATGTATGTGCGTACTAAAGTCTTTAGTAAAATTTCATAAACATTAAATATATTTTTTTGGGAACAAAGTTTTTTAAATTTTTTTTCTTCGTTTAGTTATATAAATAAAATAAAATTTCCGTGCACAATTTAAGAGTGAAAATTTAAAACGTATCAAATGCCGAAAAATGAAAATGTATATTATTCCTAATAAATGTTTTATATGTTTATAGCTTACATTCTTTGTGTATTTTATGAGAAAAATACACTTTTGTTTAGTCGCCAAGATATATGTTTAATATTTAGTATACATTTTTTTAACATATAAAATGTTGACTTTTTTCTTAATAATTTCTAATTATTTTAGCTTCGATTCGAAGCTGAGATGTTATTAATTTTATTTTTATGTATTTTTTTTGTGTCTGTTACCACTTTTTTTCAGCTCTCACCACATCGATTTCTTTCAACGGTACATCAAAATATCACAAATCGTATCTAGTCGTATCTACCCTCAAATAAAGAAAAAATTTCCCTTGTTCCTCGTAAATCTCCAAAAAAATTTAAAATTTAAAAATCGATAATTTTTGACATTTTTTCAATTATTTTTACTTAAAACTGCCATAACTTTTTAAAAAATTACCAAGTTAATATAATTTTTTTTATTTTTTTAACTTTTGAAAGTGTTCAGGAAATACTGACACATTTATATATACCTTAAATTAATGCTTATGTAATATACTTTATTATTGAAAAAAAAATGTCTGACTTTATTTTGTATTCAAAGTAAAAATGGCTACCATATGCAATTTTTGTGTTAAAATTCTCGATTTTTTATTTCACGTTTTTAACTATAAAATGCTATAACTTTTTGAAAAAAGTATGGATCAATACAATTTTTTTATGAGAAATAATATTTGTATATCTCTTTTATTCGATACACTTTTTTTTAAATAAAATCATTTCCGTTTAAATATATTACACTTAGAAATCATAAAACTTGTAACTAGGTTATAAATAAGGAAATAGGAGATCATATAGCTTTTGGAATAATCCATCAATTTTTTAAATATAAATATAATAATAAGATGAAATATTCAATATTTTGTAGAAACATATAACTGCGGGTGCTAAAAAAGTTATTATAACTACACCTAGTCGAAATGCTCCAATATTTGTCAAAGGAGTAAATTTTTTCAACTATAGAAAATCTATGAAAATTGTTTCATGTGCATCATGTACAACTAATTGTGCAGCTCCAATAATTAAGATCATACATGATAAATTTTGTGTACATAATTGTTTATTGACTTCTGTACACTCCATGACAACTTCTCAGACAATCCAAGATGATACAACAAAAATTGTAAGCAATTTATATTTTGATTAAAATAGAGGTTTGATTTATTATTAAGGTATTGTTCAGTAAAATATATTTAGTAGTAGTGAAAATTGGCAACCATACAACTCAAAATTACGAAATCGAATCTCCAAACCTTTATGTCTTAAATACTCAGTTTCATAGACTATCTTAAAATGATAAATAATTCTAAATATATTATTAATACAAAATCATTTTTACTTAGAGATCCGGGCCTGGTAATTTTATACCGAGTACAACCGGAGCGGGCAAAGCTGTTGGAATTCTAATTCCCGAATTACAAGGTAAAATACATGGAGATGCTGTTAGAGTTCCGATAATGAACGTTTCTCTATTAAAACTTTTTATAAAGTAACTAATTTTTAATCTATAAATATTAGTAAAAATTAATTGTGTATATGACACAAATTGTAACGTCACAAATTTTAAAGTGGACTATTTATAATTGTTGCTATGTCTATTTATCTGTTTTTCTTTTTTTTATCGCGAAAGAATCTTTTTTTTTTGCCACTGACGGCTAGGTAAGATAAAAGGGAGAATAAATACAATTAAAATCTAATTGTTTATCGGTATTGATTGCTCCCAAAAAGATTGGCCGTTATCGATTTGAAAAAGCTATTGAATCGGTTTTGGCACTTCTTCCGTCTTACTGCCATTGACCGCGCTAGAGTGTATATGTTCTTATTTTTTTATTACTGTTGTTTTCAATGATGGAGTAGAGATGCCAACGGCGAACGGCCAGGTCTTTTCGACAAAGCATATAGACCATCTGATGTGTCTTCGTACACCGGCTATCGCTTTCTTTTTTTATCATTATATTTATGTAATAAGCTGTGTTTTATTAATTATTTTATTTCACTTTATTTGATTATAAATTAACTTTATTTTATTTATGCGTAGATAGCACGTGTTTCGTCTTTCTTCTAGCTAACGCTAATGAGCGAGAGAATGCTCCTGGTGTTTATCATTAATTTCCGATTACATTGTCAGATGTGTTCCAATATCTTATAAAGATATTTGCTATATTATTTGTTATTGTTTAAATATTTTATTTCATTTATATTGTAGCCTATTTTTGTAGACATGGTTTTCGTTACACTCGTACACTCGTTTTGTCCGTGTTTAACTTAATTCTATTTTTTAACAATTAAATTAGATTTCCTTATTAACCTTATATGTAATATTTATTATTATTGCGCCAGTATCTTAAGTACTCGTGTGTACTTTATTTCTGCTTCTTAATCTAGAACCGGCTAGATATGTTTTGCATATCAATCCCATACAACTTCAATTATCATAGTTATGGTATTTAAACCACGAGATGTTATAATAATTTACAGTTAACAACATACTAACTTAAATTAAATTATTAATTAACTTAAAATTAAATTCCTTTTATGATGTGGTAATTATATCTGATAGGTGTGACACCTCTTCTAGGTGATAGCGATTCTTGCTATTATAGTTAGTCGTTATGCAAGGGGCAAATCACATTGTTGCTGTAGACTGACAAAAAATTCAATTTCATAATGTTTAAACAAGAATTATAAGAAGAAATTCTTTTGGCAATTTATATTAGTTCAGGGGAAGTTATTGAACTAATATAATTTAAAAATTTGGCTTAAACCAAGTTAAATCTATTTTATCATATTTTTTTTTTGTAGTGTTAAAAAAGAAATGACCTTAGATGATGTTAAAAAAGAAATAATGGAACAAGCAAAGAGCAAAATGAAAGGGATAGTTCATTATAATGATGATTATTGTGTCAGCTCTGATTTTATAGGTTGTGAGCATTCGGCAGTTGTAGATATGAATTACATGAATGCAATTAATAAGTTGATTTTAATAAATGCATGGTATGATAATGAAAAAGGATATGCTAAAAGGGTTTTAGATCTTCTAAGTTATATGATCGAAAAAGATGCGATAAATGGAGTCGAACAACATGAACAGAACGTTTGTTAATATCAATATTCTTTTTGTAACTTATGAATTCATTTTTATGTATATATATGAATAATGTATATAATAATATATGTATTAAAATTAAATTTTGGAATATCATTTCAACAATTTAAGAACATAATTTTTACTCAAAGTCATTAGAATGCATTTATTTTTTACTTAATCTAACTTGTTTAAATGTCCAAAATGTAGTCAAACTGAAGCCATTTGCCTAAATAATAATACAGCCTGTCGCCCTGGACCATGGCTCCTACGTAAATACGTCATTTAATGGATATTCTCAGTATATCTGGGTATATTATATTCAATTACCTAATATCCCCTTAAATTTAAAAAAATTATTAATTGAAAATTCTGTTAGAGTTAAATTCCAAAACCTCTATTCAAATTAAGCTTGATTGTTGGTTTATGGCTATACTTTATTATAGTAGTAAATTTGAATAAGAATAAAGAACGCGCTCTAGTTGTAAAATTCAAAATAACTGCTACAATATGAAAATTTTTTTTTGTATAAGTTGCACTTATATAATTTATACACCCACCTTGAGGTGCATTTATGGTGTTTAAATGTATAAAAATAAAAATAAAATCAATTTTTAAAGAAAGCCTTCCTTAAACTAAAAGTTAAGTAAATTTTAGGATAAAATCAAAGTGATTCTTTTTAATTTTAACCACTTAATTAATAAAAAATAAAAATAATGATTTAATTACGTTATTATTATTCCGTATTTTTCTCAATTTATTAAACATAATGTATTTTCATCCTTTATACTTTATAAGGGCCACAAATTTATTTTCCAAACGGCAACATACACAATTTACTAACTTTAATAGATAATGCATAATTGCAGCAAAATTAGTACGCTATAAGGCTTAGCCCTTTTTAAAAAGTAAGAAAAATTTTTTATTATTTAAAAAAATATTTTTGAGTTGAAGATAAAAAAAAAACCCAGCACATGGGGGTCGCGGCACAGTTGTGACGTGGTATAGTTGGATCAAGTATAATGATATCTGACAGTGATTAAAATCACTATCAAAAATAAACGATTCGAAGCAAATCTTTAGATAGTGTTTAATTTTAAAAAAATTGGTGTTTTATTCCAAAAGCTACTTGATCTGCTGGTTCCTTATTAATATCTCGAATAGATAAAGTATGTCGAATGAAAAAGGGTTTATTAAAAAATATTATTTCTCATAAAAAAATTGTGCGGATCCATAAACTTTTAGTTTAGTAAAATGAACATGTTCAACTGGAGGCGGAGTAGTTTCAGCACCTTCAGTCAAGTGGGACTTTCCTAAATCACAATAAACATAACGTTCCAAAACATACCATAACATTTCAGTAAAAAACGGGTACCTAAATTTTTGTGGAACCTAAAATTACAAAATCAATTTAAATATGTTTTCCAATTACATTAAATTATAACAATTCTAAATAATGACATATAATATAATAAATCGGACAAGCAAATTATCTAATATTAGCTAACCTTAGTGGATTCCTCTACTTCAGCTACTCTTAATTGTTTTTCTATCCCAAATGAATGTAAAAAGTTACCACCAAACACTAGTGAGTCTTTTGGTGTATAAACAGCATGTATCCAACCAGTAGGTATAAAGAATGTATCACCTGCACTTAATGATACACGACCACATTGTTCAACAGTGTCGCCAAAAAATATATCTCCCTGTTTTCCAGATAATATCCACTGCTCATATAATTTCATATTTTGTTCTGTAGGTGGTATAAGCCAAAAAACCTAAAAATAATATTAAAATTATTTATAATTTGCAAATATTAATTTTGATAAAAATGTATACCTTTGCACCACGTAAAATATGATACCATACAGATGTACCACCAAAATCAATATGAAAATCAGTATAACAACCTTTAACAGACATTAAGCAATATTTTTGTACTTTAGGATACATCATCTCATCTAATACATTTGTTGATTCTGTTTGACTTTCTTTTAAATGTTTAGGCCATACACAATCCACCCAATCTAACTCTCGAACCTATAAAAAAATATATATTTTTTTTATATACAATCAAATAAGATAATAGGTTAGTTTAAAAAACATACAATATTTGGACGTTTAATGTAATTTTCTAGTTTTGTATGACTAAATTCTAGAGAAATGACATTTAATAATTTATCTTTTTCTGGATCTTCATAATATTTTGTCCATTCTTTCATTGTCATTTCAAAATTTTTTTGAGTGTTAACATCCATAACATCTAATAATCTTCTGGATCCTATTTAAAAATAGGGATTATTGAATTTTATAATTGAAAAGTAAATATGTATTTGCATGTAATGTTCAAACTTTTATCAATAATTAAATTAACACAACACAAATTAAGTTCTATAAATGACTTTCAATAATAAGTTTTGAATACAAAATATTTAAAAAAAAAAAGTAGAAAAAACTAAAAAAAAACCCAACCCAGCACAGGGGGGTCGCGGCACAGTGGTGACGTGGCATAGTTGGATCAAGTAAATGATATCTGACAGTGATTAAAATCACTATCAAAAATAAATGCTTCGATGCAAATCTTTAGATAGTGTTTAATTTTAAAAAAATTGGTGTTTTATTCCAAAAGCTACTTGATCTGCTGGTTCCTTATTAATATCCTGATTAGGGTTAAGTATGTCGAATGAAAAAGGGTTTATTAAAAAATATTATTTGTCATAAAAAAATTGTGTGGATCCATAAACTTTTCAATAAGTTATAGTATTATAAAGTTAAATATAATATAAATAATAAAATCGAGAATTTTCACACGAAAAAAGCATTCTGTAGCCATTTTCGCCATGAAGACAAGTCCAGAGGTCAAATTTTTTTTTTTCAAATTAAAGTATATTACATTAGCTTTAATTTAAGATATATATAAAAGTGTCAGACCTTCCGGAACATTTTCAAAAGTTATGTTGAAAAAGT